ATTCACGAAATGTCTAGAACAATAATTATTGCTTTCCATAGGATCATATGTTGGCTTCAGTATCATCCTGAAAGGTTAAAAGTGTGGCTCCCACACCCCTAACTTTCTCTCAGGTGTTAGGCCAGGTATTAGGCACTAGGTATTGTTTGGATTGTCTGTTTCATTGAGTCTGATCTCACAGAGCTCGGTGGAAATGTGCAGACCAAGAAGGCGGGCAGACGCCACCCTCCATCCCGGCCCCTCCCTCGCACCTGCCGTCATGAGCTGTCAGACTGTGGCACAGCACTGGGTGGGGGGGGGGTTGGGGTAAACTGGGCTCCCGACCCTGGGCTCCTCCTCAGGAACCCTCACTCAGGGAGAACAGAAGGAAAGCGAGCGCAAGAGCAAATGGTGTTTGGGAAGGATCGCAAGTGCAGTGTGGACAGCGCCCTGAATGGGAGCCAAACCCCGCACCCCAAAATGGTTACATGGAACTCCAAGATCTTGGGGCAGGAGGGCGGTGGAAGGAAGAAGAGAAATAGGAGTGAGAGGGAGAGAGTTGTGCTGGCGATGGCTTGAGGTTTATTTATCGTGCTCGCTGTTGATTAAGCCCGCTCAGCAGCAGGCGCGGGGCCGGTAAATACACAGGCTGATTCATTAGTTTCTGACCATCTGCTTCCTGGGCTGAGGAGCCGGGGCCAGGGGGCCCCGCAGGTTATGGCAGCGTGGTGTCGGCAGCCGGGCTGGAGCCCCCGTCCCCTGGCAGAGCCGGCCGTGTCAGTTTTCCTGGTGACAGGCCGGCACGGCTGGGGGCTGTGTGGGGTCCCGTGTCCTGCAGTGGGGACCACCAAGAGACTGGGCAGGGTGAGGGAAGGTAGGGCAAGGGGATGAAGAAGGACTGGGGAAGGTGAGGTGTGGGTGATTCACAGCAGTCAGGGGATGGCAGGAATAATATCAGCATTCAACATGAGATATTAATATTAACCTAATTGTCATTATACTGATAATTATTACTGTTATGACAGTATATTATAATTATTACTATTAATTAGTTATAAATACTAATATAATGACGGTATATTAATATAATGACTGTAATAATGATAATTTAGTGAGTGGCTACTGAGGTCCAGGCCCTACGCAGAGGTTTTCCTACACTGTGCCAGATGAACATGCAACATCCCATGACGGATGATGCGGGAGCTGGGTTTAAATACTGAGTCGGGCATGAAGGGGAGATGCATGGGGGGAGGGCCCTGAAAACACTGAGCGGGGGAGAGTCGCTGCAGGAACACAAGATCAGAGGCAAGAGGGGATGGGACAGCCAGAGGAAAGGCACAGCCTTCAGAGCTGGATTGATAGGAGCTATCCAGGTGGGCAAGGAAGCACGGTGTCGCCTGGTACCCGGGTGCTGGAAACCAAGCTTGCGGAGGAGGATCCCAGACAGAGCTTCTGGGGAGATCATGAAAGACTCACAGTTCAGTCCTGCCCCTCGGGACCGTTCCTCCCACCCTGACCATCCCGGCCCCCACGACCCCCAGCTCCCGGCTGAAGACTATACTCATTTGCTGGGGCCCAGGTGGCGTAAACCACAGAAATCTCTCTGCTCACCGCTCTGGAGGCTAGCAGTTTGTTGGAAGACAAGGCGGGTCTGGTTTCCTGAGGCCTCTCTCCCAGGCTCGCAGATGGCCACCCTCCTACTGCTTCTTCACATGGCTTTCCTCCACACGCACTCGCCTCTGGTGTCTCTCTGTGGATCCAAGTTTCCTCTCTGTACAGGGACACCAGTTGTGTTGCATTAGGACCTGTCCTCATGGCCTCATCTTAACTTAATCACCCATTAATGGCCCTATTTCCAACCAGTCACATTCCGAGATCCTGAGGTTTAGGGCCTCAATGTATGAATTTGGAGGGAGCTGCGATTTAGCCCCTGACAAGGTGCTGGGGCAGTGGAGGGTCCTGGGGAGTGGGAAGACAGAGATCACTGGTTGGCAGGTGGGGATGCCGACCTAAGGGCAAACTGTGTTCTCCCACCCCCTGGTGCATCCCAAATGGCATGACCATGACCATGCCTCTGGACAGAGAGCTCTTCCCTGCTGTGTGCCGGCGGAGGGGCTGGGGCAGGGGCTGGCCCCATGGGCAGGCTTGCTCCTCCTGTGTGAGCAGCCTGGCCCTCCCATCACCAGGCCTGGACTCTGTAGGCCAGTGAGCCATCTCCGGGGGCCTCTTGGCCCCTTCACATTCAGGGATATGACGGCGCAGGATCACTGAGCTGGAGCTGGAGGAAGCGCCGGGCCCACAAGCTGAACCAGACCCTCTCCCTGCTGCGTTGCATGTGAGGTTGCTAATGTTTTCCCGACAGCCCTGAGGCTTTCCAGGACAGGAACAGGTTCATTCTCAAACACCTCCCGCTATCCAGGAGGCCTGGGCCAGTCCCGCCTAGTTCTGGACCTCCAGCAGTTTTCCCATCTGCTGAATGAGGGGTTGGATTCAGCAGTATCTACCTTCCATCCCGAGGTTTGCGGGTCCTGAGAATCAGCGGGCCTGGGCCAGGTGGGGTGGACGGTGGCACCACAGGGGACCAAGGACAGAGCTATTTTGGGCAAGGAGGGCTTTGTGGAAGCTGCCTCAGTAAAATCCTGGGCCAGCCTGCCCACCCCAGACCCTTGGGCAGAACGTGTCCTCCACGAAAGGGCATCAGCAGTGACCACCAGAGGCCGCTGCGGTGATGCTGGGGGGGGCACCAGCTCAGCCCCCCAGGAGGCAATGTGCCTACTCCCCTGTGGGAGCCAAGTGGCTCATTTTGGAGTAAGAGATTTTAACTCAGATCCAAGCTGTTTTGTCTCTGAGCAAACCAGACACCTGAAATATTCATCAAAAAGTGATGAGAGTGGTCTGGGTGCTGTGGTTCTTCATGACAGCTTTTTTTTTTTTTTTTTTTTTAATTAATAGACTGTGTTTTAGAGCAGTTTTAGGCTTACAGAAAATTGAGCTCACAGTGGCAGGAGTTTCTAATGCCTCTGTCTCGCCATGAACAGTTCCCCCCTACTTTTTAAAAGAATCTTTATTTGGCAGGGGGGACATGAACAGGGTAAGGGGCTGAGGGAGAGGGAGAAGCAGACTCCCCTCTAAGCAGGGAGCCTGATGCAGGGCTTAATCCCAGAACCCTGAGATCATGACCTGAGCTGAAGGCAGACTCTTAACCAACTGAGCCACCCAGGCTCCCCAACAGTTCCCCCTACTATTCATATTTGCACTGGTTTGGTACATTGGTTATAGTTGACGAGCTACATTGATAGTTATTGTGAGCCAGAGCCCACCGTTTACATCAGGGGCCATGCTCAGTGTTGTCAGCTCGGTGGGTTTGGGCAAATGCACAGTATCCTACATCCACCAAGAGAGTGTCACACAGAGACACTTTACTGCCCTAAAATCCACCGGCCCCCCCACGCCCAGGGCTCCACCTATTTATCCCCCTGACTCCAGGCAACCACCACATTGGTGACATTTTCAAGGCCTCTGGCCGAGTTCACACAATGGGCAGACTCAGGGAATGGATTTGAACTGCCACAGAGGGGAGCCACAGCTGGTGCCGGCTGGGCCCAGGAGCGGGCTGCTGGCCTCCCCCGGGTGGGGTGAGAGGAGAGAGAGCAAGTGGGGGCTGTGTCCTGCCTTCCACAGCCAGTGTCTCCCACTGAGCCTGCCAGGCCTGTGCCAGGGCCCTGGAAATGACTCGCCACCAAGATGCACCCCATGGAGAGGGATTGTAGACACCCAGCCTCCTCCCAGGATGCTCAGACCACGTACGAGGGGGGCACATGGGCTGGGAGGCAGAGGCGGGCATGACCGCCACCCTCTGCATCAGATAGGCCTGGGTATAGCTCCCCGCGCTTCCTGGTGGTTGCCTTGGGCGAGGGACACGGCCTTCCCGAGCCCGGGGTTCCTTCATCCAGAGCACGGAGCTCATACTCGCGCTCTGTTTGGAGGTGCGACATGAGACAGAAGAGAAATGAGACAATGAGGTCTGTAACAGACATAGAGTCCCTGGCACTGGGTGGCAGTTCAGCAGATGTTTGCAGTGACTTTGACTTCCTCTCCCTCGGCCATTCCTGCTGCTATAATGGTATTATTTTAAAGGGTCAGGAAGGCCTCTTGCTGTAGATGCTTAAAGAGTGAAGAATGTGAGTAGGAATGGGGCACCTGGGGGGCTTAGTTGGTGAAGCATTTGCCTTTGGCTCAGGTTTTGATCCCAGGGTCTAGGGATCGAGCCCCACATCGGGCTCCCTGCTCGGCGGGGAGCCTGCTTCTCCCTCTGCCCACCTGCCCTCCCTCCTCAAGGCAGACAGAGTAGAAGGGCACGTCAAGGAGAGGGAATACTGTCTGCAAAGGCTCAGAGGCTCAGACAAGGCAGACAGAAGTGCTCAGGTGAGCCAGGCTCTGGGGGCCCGAGAACAGTGATTCCAGGGATGGTGGGAGAGGAGTCCTAAAGAGTCCTATTAAAGAGGCAGGACTTGGGACACCTGGGTGGTTCAGTGGTTTAGTGCCACCTTCAGCCCAGGATGTGATCCTGTGGTCCTGGGATCGAGTCCCACATCGGGGTCCCTGCTTGGAGCCTACTTCTCCCTCTGCCTGTGTCTCTGCCTCTCTCTGTTTCTCATGAATAAATAAATAAAATCTTAAAAAATAAAATAGAAGAAAGAGGCAGGACTCTATCCTGCAGGCCATGAGGAGCCTTGGGAGCAGGTGACTAACACCTGCCCTTCTTGCTTCTCTGTATCTGGAGCAGGAGCAAGTGCACATTTTCTCAGAAAGCCATAGGCTTGCCTGCCTCTATGTGCTTTGGGGACACAGGTACAGGTCGCCAGCCTAGAAGAGGCTCCCAGTGCCCGGACACCAGAGCGCAGGCTCGGCCAGCCCCCGTCGGACGCCCGGGCACACGGTGCGGGGGCCAGGCCGGGCTGAGGCTCCCTGGGACCCCAGAGCAGTCACGCCCAGCCCTCCCGTCTCCCCCCCCCCCACAGGAGAACCCCTACCTGTGCAGCAACGAGTGCGACGCCTCCAACCCAGACCTGGCCCACCCGCCCCGGCTCATGTTCGACAAGGAGGATGAGGGCCTGGCCACGTATTGGCAGAGCGTCACGTGGAGCCGCTACCCGAGCCCGCTGGAAGCCAACATCACCCTGTCGTGGAACAAGAGCGTGGAGCTGACGGACGACGTGGTGGTGACCTTCGAGTACGGCCGGCCCACAGTCATGGTCCTGGAGAAGTCCCTGGACAACGGGCGCACGTGGCAGCCCTACCAGTTCTACGCCGAGGACTGCATGGAGGCCTTCGGGATGGCCGCGCGCCGGGCCCGCGACCTGTCGTCCTCGGGCGCCCACCGCGTGCTGTGCACCGAGGAGTACTCGCGCTGGGCGGGCTCCAAGAAGGAGAAGCACGTGCGCTTCGAGGTGCGGGACCGCCTGGCCATCTTCGCCGGCCCCGACCTGCGCAACATGGGCAACCTGTACACGCGGCTGGAGAGCGCCAAGGGCCTCAAGGAGTTCTTCACCCTCACGGACCTGCGCATGCGGCTTCTGCGCCCCGCGCTGGGGGGCACCTACGTGCAGCGGGAGAACCTCTACAAGTACTTCTATGCCATCTCCAACATCGAGGTCATTGGCAGGTAAGGCCTGCTGGGGGCACTGGGGCGCTCCCCAGGTCCTGGGGTGTCGCCCGGTTCCCGGGGGGTTAGCAAGTACTCAGGATGTTACCTGGTTCCTGAGATGTCACCTGGTTCCCGGGATGTCGCCTGTTTTCCAAGATGTTGCTTAGTTCCTGGGATGTCACCCAGTTCCTGGCATGTTAGCTAGTATCAGGATGTTACCTGGTTCCCAGAATGTTACCTGGTTCCTGAGATGTTAGCTGGTACTCAGGATATTGCCTGGTTCCTGGGATGTTACCTCTACCTGTGATGGTACTTGGTATTACATCAAAGGGGCTGCTTATGGTGGCCAGGGCTGCACAGATAAGACGCCTGGTTTTTCCATGGAGGGAGGTGAATGATGGATGATAATTGTCCTTTGTAGGGCCTGGAGGGCTGGAAGGTCTAGAGGAGACCAGGGGAGCTGGGCAGTGTGGGCTTGGGCAAAAGCTGGGTGCTCAGGAGGTGCTCTCCAACTGTCCAGCAATTCAGTGAATTGTGCTTATGTCTGGGGGGTCCCTAAAACTACCCTCAGGCATAATGATTTTCTAGAACAGACTTAGCAAAACCATTACACTCTTGATTACAGCTTATCACACTGAAAAGCAACAGAAAAAGGTGCATGGGTGGGCTCCCAGAGACACCAGTGTGAGCTTCTGGATGTCATCTCCCCATGCGGTCATGGAGACAGTACTCAGTCCTCCCAGCAATGACGTGTGATAACATGTGAGGGGTACCACCAGCCAGGGAAGCTTGCCCAAGCCTTGGGATCTGAGGTTTTTGTTGGAAATTGATCATATAGGTATGGCTGACTGCCTGTATGGTGCACCTTAGTCTTCAGTCTCTTGACCCAGAGGCTCCCCTGCCATAAATCGCATCACCATAAACCAGCTGATGTGTCCTGAAGCCCCAGGTAAACAAAGATACTCCTACCAGGCAAGACATTCCAGGGGCTCAGAGATTACCTCCCAGAAGCCAGTTAAAGGCCAAACTTTTCTTTGGAATATCCTGGGTGTGGACAATCCCCACCTGTTGAATTAATCCTTTACTCACAGCTTTGGAGAAGAATATGTTTCAAGGCTACTTTGGGGGGAAGGCAAAAGACCATCATAGATTAAACCAGCCTTGATCCCCTGGAAAGATGGCAGACGATTAAGTGACTCCACACTGTCTGGGTCATTTGTTCATTCACCAGATAATGTGCAGGTCTGTAGGGGCAAGCCACGTGACACACTGGTCTGCACTCAGGAGAGAGGCCCAGGAAGCCACATCCCTGGGTCGGGTAGGGGCAGTGATAAGGGGCAGCAGCATGTGATGCTCTCCAAGTGTGACTCTCGGACTGGCAGCATCAGCAGCACTTGGAAACTTGTTAGTGATGCAAATTCTCAGGCCCCACACCAGACCTTCGGCATCAACACTCCAGGGCTGGGTCCAGCAATCTGTGTTCTAACGAGCCCTCCGGGGATTCTGATGCATGTTCAAGTCTGAGAACACTGGTGTGCCAGTTGGGGGCATGGCTCTGGCATCAGACAGCCTGGGTGGATTCCCGGCGCTGCCATCCACTGGCTGGGAGACTTCACACGGGGAGTCTGTCCTCTGTGGCCTGGTTTCCCCATCTGTAGAATGGGGATGATAACAATCATGCCCCTCTCAGCGGATGGTGGTGACAGTTAAACGGGCTAAGGTGGGGCATAGTCAGGATCAGGAGCATGGCTCAGGCCGTGTGGGCAGGGGCCGCACGAAGCACCCCGCTGGGACAACATATGCTGGGGGCATCTTTCCGCAGCAGGCTCCAAAGACCCCAAGGTTAGAATTACTGATAAGAGGAAAAAGCCATTTGTTGCATGGTGTGTCTAGTATAGTCCCATTTTTGTACAAAGTGTGAAACACCATGTGCATAATTTCTACACATTGGGGAGGCATTGGGAAGAAGTGTGTCCAGGCACAGCAAGAGCACCGGGGGTCTGGGGCCAAGGCTGAAGCTCGTGTGCTGACAGATCGCAGTGGTCCTGCCTGCAGAGTGGGGTTGGGCAGGAAGGGGCGGGGCTGTCGTCTTCCGCTCACGTTTGCATTTTATTTTACCTGGACTATGTGCGTGTCTTCCAAATGGACCAAGGCAAAGGCAAGCGGTTGAATGAGGTGGTTCAGGCTCAAGGATGGCAGGTGTATATGCACAGGTCTGTGGTTCTGACACTTGTGACTTCTAATCCTCCCCATACTTGGGCAACATATGTTAAATCAGGAATGTTCTGGAAAACAACTGACAAACAGCCACTGTTGTGGAGACTGGGGGTTGAGGGTTGAGCTCTCTGATCGGTGTCCAGGCTTTGGACCGCTGGGTGACCCCTGCCTGCCCTGGGGATGCCACGGGGGTGTATGACCCTCCCTCCACCCTGCAGTCCCAGCCGGCTTAGCAGCATGGTGGTGGGAACCAGATCTCTGCACCTTCTGGGGGTCGCAGCAGCCCCTCTGATCTGTCTTGGGCAGCTGCAGGGGGATCCTCCTCTTCAGGAGTCTGGTCAGCGGCCCTCCTTCCACCTCACTGGGTGATCTGGGGCCGGGTGAGCCTGTTTCAGCTCTGGCCCTCTGCAGCCCTCTCTGGGCCTCAGTGTCCGACCTATAACCTGAGGACTGGGCGGCTGGAGCCCACGTCTCCCTGGCAAGGTGGCAGGGCGGCCCCTGCTCAGCGGCTCCCAGCTCCCCTTGGCACTCAGCCTCTGTGGGTAGCGGGGATTAGACGTAGCGGTGGCGAAAGGACGGCAATCAATTCACAGATAAAGTAAGTACTCTTCAGGCGGCCGGTTGGCAGGAAAACAGCAGCTTGGCTTATCGATTAATTAGGACTGGTGAGATGGTTCAGCAAAGGGCTGCAGCTTCCTCTGCTTTTCCTTTTTAAATTCTGGGGTGGGAAAGCCCAACAGTGCCAGGGAGCCAGAGAGGCCCGGGACGATGAGATGGGGTGGCAAAGGCATACGTAGGCACCGCCCATATGGTGCCTTGATGCTCCTGAGTGGGCACCTGGGGACCCCCCCGCCAGGGCCTTTCAGGTTCTGGGATCTCAGACTGAAACGCTTTCTGGGATTCCTTCAGAGTCTCATGGCCCTGAGTGCCTCCCTCTGTAGCCTGCCAACATCAGTAGCTGATACTTATTGAGCATTTGCTACAGTCTCATTGACTGAGTCTCATTGAGCTCCCAGTTAAGGGCTTCATGTGCATTTTCTTATTTAATTAATTTGATTCCCCAATGGTTATTGAATTGCTAAGATCCCATAAGCCAAGAATGTGGCATTGAGCAAGCCAGACCTGATCCCCACCTCATAGAGCTTTCTCTACAGAGACAGCACTTCCCTCTACTTCATGTTTTCAGATGCAGAGGCTGAGGTCAGGGAATATAAGGAGATCACACAGCTGAACTAAACACCAGACAGCCAAGATCGAACCCAAGCACATCCAACCTCAAGTGCATCTCTATATAGGCCATCTCACTGACCCCCTCTCCCTAATCCAAAGGTCCCCGGTACTGTGGTTGCTTCCAACTTGCCACTGTTGTCAGCTATTTCCACCTTCAAGGGAGATCCAGATTGAGTGGTGGGAGGGAGCAGAGGGACCTGGCTGCCAGGTCATGAGGAAGGGAGGTAAAGCAGCTGGAGAAGGCTCAGGGCCCTGGGGAATGAGGAATGAGGACGGGTCAGGGGTGAGAGAAGGAGCAGATGGAGAAACCCCACCTAAAACAGGCTCCAGCACCTCAAGGCCTCTGCCCCCACCCCTGGCCTTGCCTCCCTTCCTCTCTGAGCCCTGGCAAAACATCCTTGCCAGTCCTGCCCACTCTGGGTCTGGGATAGAGAGAAGGAGCAGGGGATCCCACCTCCTATTCACTCCCATTCCTGGAAGGCAGGAAGGAGGCGGGAGCTATTCTCTCCTTCCACACAGGAGAAACTCAGGTGTGGAGCAGGACAGCAGCTGGCTTCAACCATGCCCCAAATCTGGGGTGACATCTGGATTTGGGAGGAAATGTAATCATCCCTTTACTGTCCTTGGAGCAGAGACAGAGCCCCCACCTCCACCCCAAGTGGTCCAGTGCAGCAAGGCCCAAACCCAGCTAGCATCCTCCAGTAGAGCTTTTTAAGATGATAGGTTCCCCAGCTCCACCAACAACAACCTTGGATCCCATAAGTTTGGAGCAAGGTCCAGAAAGCCATCTCTTTGCAAAGCCCCTGAAGCGAGTTGGAGAGACAGAGGCTCCATCACTGAGCTGAGCCTCAGTTTTCTTATCTGCAAAATGGAAATCGAGTAACTCCCCCATCAGCTTGTGGTAAGGATCCAGTGAGCTTATGTGTTTGCAGAGCTTATTCTAGCATCTGCTTTCCTCTGGCTAGGTGGCAGGAGAGGTAAGGGACGGAGGCATAGGGCCGGAGCTGCCAGGATGGGAGGCCGTGGCTACATCTACCCGCAGAAACCAGAGCTCAGAAAAGATGCAGGGAAGCATGCGTTCTTGGGTCAGTGTGGTGGCAAGCCCAAATGTCTACGGGGGCCTGCAGGACAACACCCCCGGGTAATGTAGACCAGTAGAGACAACAGGGAAGGGTGTGGTCTGTGGAAAAAATGTGGAGAGCAGGCCCTTTGCAGAACAAGAAACCAAATATTGCCAGATTTTCTGAGGTTACACAACAGATATCTCTGGAAGGTCACTTGATTTTTAACATTTTGGCATCTACTGTAAAGTTTTTTGAAAAACCTGTGTAGGGGATCCCTGGGTGGCTCAGCAGTTTAGCGTCGCCTTCAGCCCAGGGCGTGATCCTGAAGACCTGGGATCGAGTCCCATGTCGGGCTCCCTGCATGGAGCCTGCTTCTCCCTCTGCCTGTGTCTCTGCCTCTCTCTCTCTCTCTCTCATGAATAAATAAATATTTTTTTTAAATGAGAAAAGAAAACCCTGTGCAGGTTCAACAAAACACACTTGAGGCCCGGGGCAGCTCCTGGGCTG